AAGACATGTCTATGGCTCCATAAACCCTCATGTACAGTCTCAAGGTATACTAATGGCTGATATGGACAAGTCTCATCTCGTACATCGGAATGACTCCTAACCTTCGTGTAACTTATAAGATATTTAATAAATGATTTCAAGCCCAAATAGAGTGAACAAACACATGCCTATAGCTTCATAAACCCACATGTACGGTTCCAAGCTATACTAATGGCCCATATTGACAAGTCTCATCTCGTAAATTGGAATAGCTCAAAACCTTGGTATAACTTATAAGTTATATAATGAATAATTTCAAGCCTAAATGGAGTGAACAAACACATGTCTATGGCTCCGTCAATGCACATGTACAGTTTCAATCTATCCTAATAGCCCATATGAAAATTGAATTTGGTATTATAGATTTAGAAGTGTCTATTAATGTGATGTCATTTTCCGTATATAATTCTTTAAATTTGGGACTACTATGCTGATGGTTCGCATGTTTATCCAGAAGGGATTTTATAAGATGTTTTTGTGCAAGTTGATGAACTACGTTTTCCTGCGGATTTTTACATTGTAAAAATAGAAAATGGCCATGTAAGTTCAACTCCAATTTTGTTAGGGAGGCCATTTATGAAAACAAAAAAAACTAGAATTGATGTGGATAAAAGCATTTTCTCTACTGAATGTGATGGGGATGTGGTGGAAATTACTTTGTCTAAAGCATTAAAAATCTCTAATAATTCACTTTCCTTTTGTGCTAATGATGTTAATTTGATTGGCATAGGTTAATCTGGTTGAGTTGGATGTCGAGCATATTGACATAAAACAATTGCGCTTCTGGGAGGCAACCCAAGTTTAAAGTTTCTTTCATTTTGATTTTGTTTAATTTTTGTTTGGTTTCATTTGTTTTCAGTTTTCTTTCATTAAAAAAAAATTCCGAAATAGAAAAAAGATATTTCATTTATCAATTTTTTTTTTGTTTATTTTCCAGTTTTTTTCCTCCTCTTTTTATGGAGCACGTCCTCTTATGATGCGATTGCAGCTACTTCTCACCATTGGGGATTGCTTTCACATCAAAAGACCATGTTGTTGCATTGTGGTTTTAACTCTAACTCTTCTAATAAATTTTTTAGGGAGTTTCTAAACTCAAATCTTATACAGCTATCATTGATTTACTGATTGTTTTGCTGCCTGTTTTTTAAAGTAGTTGAGTTGGTTGATGTTTTACAAAGTTTAATGATGTTTGATATGAAATTTCTGCCTATGTCTAAGTGCTAATATGAATTAATTCTCCATATGACGTCATGCATTTCTTCCCAAAATATTGGTATTTTGCACTTAAAGATATTGTTCCAAACTCCTTGTTTACTTCTTATTGTGCAAATAAATTGTCTTACATTGAGGACAATGTAAAAATTAGGTGTCGGGGAGGATTTTCTGGCTACTAAAAGTTTTCATAAACCCCTGCATTAGTTTTTGTGCCAAAAATCCCCAAATTTTTTAAAAAAATTTGGCTCTCTGTGTGCTAATTTGTCAAATTATTTCAAATGACTTTGAGCCAAAATATTTTTGTGCACCCCATTGGTTTTAATAGTTAAGAATGTGCCAAATTTAATGCAATTTAACCCTTTCCGTGAGTTTCCATAGCCAAAGAGCACACTTGCTCAGTTTTCAAGTGTTATCATTCATAGTATGTTAGTATACTGGTTTGCTCATGTCATACATTTCATCACTGCATTTGTGAATTTATGCAATAAATGATAAGGGCCCTACGGTTTCGCCACGTTTAGCTATCGCAAAATTCCTACCTTAGTTTTTACCCCTAGTAACCATTTCAAGGCTGGCCTATATTCGAGTTCCACCAATATAATCCTGAGCATACTTTTAAGCTATCTTTTCACCTATTATTCGGAGTATGTATGATAATATTGCTTGATTTTGGTTGGCGGAAAGTGGTTGTGTGGTGACAATATTGGTATGGTAGGTTTAGTATGATAGATTATGTATTTTTGTTTTATGTCCAATTATATTTTACCTTTGTATATCAAAAAAATAAAAAAATAAAAAGATAAATAAAGTCATGACAGTGCCAAAAAAAAGAAAAAAAAAGAAAATAGGAGAAAAAAAAAAAGAAAAAAAGGCACTAGTTTCTGTTTTATGTGCATTTTCAGTTATATGTTATAAGCTTCGGCTTAATTTCTGTTTTAAGAAATCTGAAAAAGAAAAAAGAAAAAAATATGATAAAGGAAGAAAAGTTTGTTGATTGAAATGTTTTAATATCTTTAAGAACACCACAACTTTATGAGCAATTATCAAAACTCTTAGTGACTTATGTCTTACGTAATAGTTCTTTTGAAATTAAGGTTCGGCTTATAATAACTATATCACTGTTGCTATTGTATGTGTCATCTGGAATGATGGTGAGAATTGAGTATGTGGCCTAGATATTGTCGGTAACTTAGCCTACTTATCCATATTTATCCTATCTTTTGAAATTCCCTAGCCCCGTTACAACCCTATGAAAGACCATTTTGATGTTGCATGATTGTTCATTTATTCCTAAGAGGATTTGATATATGAAACCTATGGAATGCATGCTATGTTTATGATTGAGTGCTTACTTATAAATATCCTTTTCTTTCAAGTGCATTGAGTGAATTTTTGTGAGACATTAAAGTTTGGTACATTCTAACAATATTATTAGAATTTGGTGGGACACATTTTAAAAAATGATGAGTGATGCTTTACTTGTTTTATAAACTATTGACCCTGCTGAAATTTTCAAAATGCTGATTTTTCTTAAAATTTTCAAAATATTTCAGTATGCTTGATGGCAAATATGGTTTTGGTGTGGGGGAATCTGATAGTTATATTAAAATTTACTTTATTATAATCTTATATGCCTATTTTAATTATATTTTGAAGATTATTAATAGATTTTATTATTATTTTGTGTTAGCTGGTAAAGCAGTGAAAGATAGACTGTTTTAAGGTTTTACTAATTGCTTTACAGAGTTAAAAGATTAAAAAAATTTTACCACAAAAAGATTAGTCAAAGCTGTTGCACAAAGATTTTGATGGAAGATTTTTTTTTTACCAAGTCAATGATCTAAAATTGATTTCCAATTCAGTTTGGTCGAAGAAATCGTGCAAAACCAAAATCTGAATCTATGTGATACTGGAGCCAAGATCAGATTTGATTAGTTGACTCCCATATTTTTGGGGTTTTAGTACGGCCACTATAAATAGGGCCTCTTTGATAAAAAACAAAGGCACATCCCTGTAGCTAAGCAGCTGCTACCTTTTCATTTTCGCCCACTTTTCTTAAGCTTTAGTTTTATTTTATTTTTCATTTTTTTCAACATTTGAAAATGTTTCTAGTCACCATGAATGGTTAGTTTTCTTCATTTGGTTCAAGAATCTTTATTCATTTATATTATATATGAGACTATAAGTTTCACTTTAATTTTTTTTTTACTTTTAATTCAAATATCTGTTAATTTTGATTTATTTTTATGAGAGTTAATACTTGGTTAATCTGACAATTTAATCAAGTGTTTCTTTCTAATGCTACAAGTTGTTTATGTTACATTCTTGTCTTCAACATTTGGCACTAAGTAGCAATTAGCAGCTTATACATATTGGTAGTGATACATTGAATGTGCATGATGAGTCCAACTAGGGAATCAATAGGATAAAAAAATTATAATTGCAGTTATTTCAATTATTTTGATTTTTGGTTCAAGTACATTTTCAAAGATTTTATCGCTATTATAATTTAATATGAAACGTTATTGTGCCCAATTAAATTATGGTAAGTTTTGATTATAGGTTTTGGGCTTGGTCAAATATTTTCGGAAAATAGAAGGTTATCCTATTAAATTTACAGTTGAATGCTTGAGTTGTAAAAATTAATCTTTTTAATCGATGATCTATAATATAATTGAATCATTCCTCGAATCAAAGTTTTCCTATTACAATTTTCTCAAGTTTTATTTATTTTAATTTTGCCAATTTTATTTCATTGAAAAGAAAAATCCCCCCAACTTGTATTTTTATAGAACTAAGAGTTAAAAGTCGGCTCTCTTGGGATTCGATCTGATTCCACTATTTCTACAAATTAATTTTTCGTCTATTTAAAAGTTGAATTAATTTTTACGGATCTCGACAAACCCAACAAGGGGGCGACTGTAATTACTATTTAAAGAATATAACTTATATTTTTACTAACAGTTACAAAGTTTTTTGTGTTTATAAACTTTTAACCATCGTCACACTTGATCATAAGATTTTTCATAAAATCTCATTTTTGCTATAGCTAAAGCCCACATGTATTCAGAATTATTTGTTTTTAATAACTAACATATACACTAAGAAAAAGAGTACCGTATATTTCTTTGTGCACAAAGAAACATTTCAGTTATGAAAGTTATGATATGAGAAATTCTTTTGGCTAATGTTTAAAGTTTAAGAATGATAATATTATAGAATAAATTAAATTTTTGCATCATTAGTATTAATCTACTTATAAAATGAAGGCCAAAATTACTTATGACCAAACATAATTGAACTAAAGTAACTTTGACTGGTGAAACATTTTTATAAGTTCAAGACCCACGCCAAATTAAAAGAAAATGAAATGGAAAATACATTTTGAGTCCAAATTGGAAAATATTAACTAAAACAACAAGTTTAAATATAATTATAATAAAAATAATTGAAATATACATAATAAAGGGGCCAGGGGGTCATGTCCCCACCCTAAATCTGCCAGTGATACATGTCTACATTTTAGAGTAATTAGATCGGAGAAATAATGTTGGGATTTCTCCCAATCAACATCAAGAACATGTAAGATTTTGGTTGTGGAGTAAGATTAAGGAAAAGTTTCTTCCACGTTGAATTTTTGAAATACATTATTTTATCGAATTTTGTTAGAAAGTTTTTACACAACATGAAAATGGGATGATATATTGATATTGATCAATTTAGGAAAGGGAATGAGAAAGTCTTACTGTAATTGGAAACTCTTCCGCAGTGCCAAATCTGGCAAAAGAAGACACCACCTTTGTTATGAACTGCTTTTACAATGGGTTTCCAAGCCTCTATTTGTTCCTTTGTCCATATACCAGGCATGCTCGGAAATCTGTAAACATTGATTTTCATTGAGGTGAGCGAATATTGCACATACTAGTTTTCTCTTTTGTCCCATAACTATATCTATAGGACAGTTTTGTAATGCCACAAAAGGATTTGGAAATATGACTCTAGTTATGAAAGCACCGAAATAGGTACTATTCTCTCTGCGCGAGACAAATATTTTACATTTTAATTTGTGATTTGTATTGAGCTGTTTTACAAGAAAAAATACTTTCTGTCTAAAAAAAGAAATCCATGTTAGTGCAAATTAGAAATTAGAATATCGATTGTTTTTCTAGATCGAGAGAATTTTTTTTTTTCGGTCTCTAAGACAACTCTATTTGAATTGAATCTTGAATTAAAAATGTAGTTACCCTTGTGCAGTCTCTGAAACTCCTGTAGCTTCTGAAATGAGCAATGCACCCTTTGTAGTTTTCTCAGAGTATTGCAATATAGCTTCTGGTCCTGGTATATTTCTAGGAGAACTCGTCATTGTAAGAGGAGCCAAAACAATTCTGTTGAATTTGTGCCATGAATCAGTACCCAAATTTTGGTGCAAAATTATTTTTTTTTAAAAGATACACCCTAGTGAAGTTTTTTTTTTTTTTGAAATTTCACCCTAGTGAAGTTGAAAACAAGATAATCGTCAAAGAAAAATTTGTTAACAAAACATACTCCATCCATTCCAAAATAAGTGTCGTCCTACACTTTACACAAAGTTTAAGAAACTCTTAAATAATGTAATAAAATTACTTGAATATGCTCAACCAACCTCATTATAAAATTGTCCACCAATAGTATCAATTCTTTTGAGGGTAGTTTTGGAAACTTTTGACAAAAAGTGCACTGAAATATGAGAATGACACTTATTTTGGAATTTTTCCATTTTGCTAAAACGACACTTATTTTGGAATGAAGGGAGTATCACTTTCCATGACATTTCACGGTTTTCATTTCTTTTCTTTCAAAGAGGCGGTCTATTTTGAGGTAAATTATAAATGAAAACAAAAAGAAAAACAGTTCAAACCTACCACCATTATAGGTCATATTCACTACAGCTTCTGATCCAAGTTTAAGAGAGTTATGAAAAGAGACATCAATAAAGGTTCTAAAATTTGCTGAATTTAGTACACATAGAGAAAGTGAAAATGTAGTTGAGAATGTATTATTAATTGTAGACCGGCTAAAATTGATACATAATCTAAGTATTTACTCTGCTGAACTACTTGAATAAAGTCAGCCAAAACGTCCAATCAAAGTTGGTAATATCAAAATAAGAACCCATCACGTAAAAAAGATAATCCTAAGAAGAGCTCATCACGTAAAGCTGCTTACCATCTATCTCTTTCCGTTCCAAAACAAAAAAAAAAAAAAACGGAAAAAAAAAGAGATGAAGAATGAAAATTAACAAAGAACAAAGAGTGTCCGAAAAATATATGGCTGGAAAAATGAACATACCTGTGAGATAATAGGAACCTTCCCATTTGATATGGAGTTAACAAAGGAATTGGCTGCTCCTCTTGCTTTTGCTTCATCTCATCCGCAACGTCTCCCATTGAATTAATGCTACAGCAAGAGCTTCAAACCCTCCTACTTGTATATATGTATATAGATTTTTGGGTAAACCTTTAACTAAAGAAATTGGAAGACTGTAATGGGTGTTTATAGTGATTGAATATGAAACAAATTCGTTGGATCTTGTTCTTTTTTCTTTCATTTTTTTTTTTGTTTCACAATAACCGGCCAAACTGTTCATCACATGGGAGCAGGTAGTACTTAAGATTTTCTTATGCCATTTGAAGTAAACTAACAACGAAAAAAACATCGGGGCAAATTAAACTGAGAATTAAAAAAAAAAAAGGGAATCTAATGATTAACATTTCAGAAACTAAAAGCGTACAAAAAATATCAAGTTGGGAGGGAATCAAATGGGTTGGACATTTTGCCTCCGCCCTTAACAATGACAGAGATTATTAAAAATGTTTCTTCTTTGCCTTTAGTTAAAACTGTTAACATGGTCCTTTTGTTTGGTTGGAAGATGATTGTCGTTTATCACACGTGGCCAAACATCAAAAATAATTTTCACTTCATGAGTGGAGCCACATATCACAAATTTCTTCAAGTTTTCTAGGTATGTTTGAACTGTGTGATCTAGTCTTGTACAGTCATCATTGCTTCACAATATTTCGTGATTGATAATATTCTATTTACGCGAATTATTAATTTTTTTTTTCAAAAAAAGCGAATACAATTTGTATATTAAAACTAATAAGAAGATTGCTCATTTGTCGAAAGAAAGAATCATTAATTTAACGAGATTAATTTTAAAGATCAGATGTTGATAATTAACAACTATAATCCTTACCTGCCGACTCGATATCCCCATCGTAGCTACTAACATTGTAATTAATTAGAAAACTCTGTAAGTAGAATTCAAATACCCTCTAATAATTTCTTTTAATTAAGAGGAAGTACTACGTCCCTCTATCCAGAAAAAATAGTGATTTATATTATTCTTAATATGAATTTCAAATCTCAAAGTGAAATAGTGTTTCAGGACAAAGGAAATATTTGTTATTAATTTAAATAAAACAATCATATTAATTAAGAGACCCCCCCACATTAGATTGTCACATGATCCCTCCTACAAATGCCTTCTTAACTTCAAGTGCTTTTAGTATGTTTTATTTAGGTCTCAGTTTACGAATCCTGTTCAGTCACTACATTTTCCTAGATTTTGTTGCGGCTGATTGAAGAAGTATCCACAATTAATATAGTTTTGATCAAAATCTCTACCACATAATCATACAACTAGCTAGAGTGATCGTACATCCCTCCATCTTCATTATACTTCCTCTGTTCTAAAATAATTATTTAATTTGAATATTTATTTTTATTTTAAATTATAATAAAAGTAGATATTAAAACCAAATAATAATTTTGAGACAGAAAAAGTTTTTTTTTTTTTATAGTCAACGGTCTCATTGTTTGAGACCCTGCGGCCTGGACCATTAAAATTGAGGAATTGGAAGAACCCTCCCAATTATTCTAACAATTTTGTTGAGTTCATAGACATGTGCAAACAACAACATATATAATTAAAACGAAGGGCTATGTTTGTACACCCTCGCACAAAAGTTTACCTGACCGCACAATAATACAAATAAATTATATAAGTACTGAGAATCCAAAGATAAAACCATCAACCAGAAAGTGCTAAGGACGCAGAAGCTGTAGCCAGCCTTGTAAGCTTCATTATGTGTTATCACTCTTGGAACCTTAAAATTATGAATCCGTTTCGAGGAATGGGTAATCAGTATAACCAACAACGGGATCAGGTGAATAGAAAGTTTCTCTGTTGTACTTATTAAGAGGAGAATTCAACTCAAATCTCTTAGGCAAATCTGGATTCGCCAAGAATAATCGCCCGAATGCAACAAGATCAACGCGATTTTCAGCCACAACTTTGTTACCTTCTTCCCTGTCATATCCACCAGCAGCAATGAAAGTACCTTTGAAGGCATTCCTCATTGGCAAAAGGCTATCATCGCAGTGAAACTTTTCGCCAATAGTTTTCATCCTTGGCTCAACCATATGACAATAAGCAAGTCCATAGTTGTTTAAGGCCTCAGCCATATAAAGACCTAAAGCCTGTGGATTCGAATCTCCTGAATCACAGTAATTAGCAAAAGGAGAAAGCCTTATTCCAACTCTATCACCTCCAACTGCATTAGAAATTGCATCAACAATTTCGAGAGCGAAGCGGCAACGGTTTTCCAAGGAGCCTCCATACTCGTCCGTACGATCATTCACTTGGTCTTTTAGGAATTGATCTATTAGGTAACCATGAGCACCATGAATCTCGACGCCGTCGAACCCTGCAAATTAACATATAATGACTTGAGAGTAAAATAAATTCCGTGATGTGACGCTTAAAAACTAACTAAACCATAACAAGACATACCAGCTTCGATTGCATTGATAGCAGCTAGCTTGAAGTCATTGACAATATGAGGAATTTCTTCAGTCTTCAATCGTCGCGGCGGTGAATGTTGGTAAGAATCAGTTGATGATATTGGTTTATCTGTAGAGGATATTGGAGCTTGGCCATTGGGCTGTAAACCTGCACGTTACGGAATTCTGTTACACCTATATTTTTACCGGGATGATGCTAATGTAAACAGTACGTTCTATGACTATATTTATCGAACAAAATTGATCATCACTTGCACTATGGTTCAAATCAAATGAAACCATTCATCTGGGAAAACACGAAAATGAGTTGTGGTGGAGATAATAAACTGAAAAAAGTAATACTCCCTCCGTCTCAAAATTATTGTATAGACGGAGTATAAATGGATGATTTGGGCAAATTTTAATGGTGAGGATTTTGTAATGTCCTCATATCCCAACAAAAAAACATTACTCATAAAAGAAATTAGAACAATTCTCAAAATTAAATTTGAATTTTTTTTTTTTAAGATAGAGGGAATAAGAAAAAAGTAAATGATAAAAAGACCAAATCATCAACTGAATTAAGATTACCACATATCCAATCTTTTTAGCTATGGATTCATCTTTCATTTACTCATTTCAATATACATCATTAAATATTCAACTGGTATTGCTTAAAGAGAAGCGTCTTCTCAATTGAATTTTGTCAATAAATATATATAGTGTCCGTTTTATTTTCTTAGTAAGTGTTGACGCAACATGATAAAGTTGTCAATTCCAGAAGGAAATGTGAGAAATTCTTACTGTAATTGGAAGCTCTCCCACCATGCCAAATTTGGCAAAAGAAGACACCACCTTTGTCATGAACTGCTTTTACAATGGGCTTCCAAGCCTCTACTTGTTCCTTTATCCATATACCAGACATTCTAGGATACCTATAAACATTTGACATTTCAATTAGTTTTTATTTTTATTTTTTTTGGTACAGAAAACAAGACATTTCATTTAGTTGAGTAAATATTACAAATGCATAGGTTGACACATCGCTTACTCTTTTGCCCAAAATAAAAACAACAATATTTGCCCCAAGAAAAGGGTAAAAAGTCTTTTAAAAAGTTTGGTATAGTGCGAAAAAAAAGAAGTCAAACAAGACAAATTTCCAATGGCACAAAAAGGTTTTGGAAATATGACTCTAACATTACGGTTTTTTTTTTTTACCCTTGTGCAGTGTCAGAAACTCCAGTTGCTTCTGAAATGAGAAATCCACCCCTTGTAGTTCTCTGAGAGTAATACAATATAGCATGTGGTCCTGGAATATTATCGGGAGATCTCATCCTTGTTAAAGGTGCCAACACAATTCTGTCAACAAATTGTACAATTAGTTACAACACAATATAAAGTGCGATGTAATTTTGAACAAGATAAATAAATCATGCCGAAGTGAAGTACAAGTCAAAGCCAAGAAAAATAAAGGAAAACATTGCCATTCTTAGCAATAATGCCCTTTAGTCAAGAAATCGAACATCAATGATGTGAGGTTATTATTGCATTTTCACTAGCAACAATCATCACTTTTTTATTGTTTGTGTGTTTCGAGAATTAGGACAATTGATCTATAATGTTTTAATTTTCAAACCTTTTAGTACAGAAGAAAATCAATCAAGTCGCTACAGAATGTCAATAATGTATTCTCTTGTTTAATTACTAAATAAATCAATCCAATTTTCCACCCAAAAAAATAAATAAATCGAATCAAAGTTTAGTCTTGTTAATTTTCACAGGGAATGTCAAACAAAGCCTTTGAATTTCAGTTTCATATATCTAGGCTGATCCTGTGTCTTCTGCACCAATTAGCCTAAGCAGTTAAATAATAAAAAAACTTATAAGAAATCAAAATATGCAAAGAACCCTTCATAATAAAGCTGTTTACCATGTCTTACGTGATCCCCCTTTCCAAAAAATGAAAAGAGGAAAAAAATGCCAAAACAATGGGTGGAAAAATTAACATGCCTGTGAGATAGCTGGAATTTGCCCATTTGGTATGGAGTTAGCAAAGGCATAGGCTGCTCATCTTGCTTTTGCTCCATCTCGTCTGCGATTTCCCCCATTGACTTTTTTCTTCTGCAAAAAGATTAGGATTCCTTTCTGTATTTTTAGTGAAGATTATTGACAAAACAAATTGGAAGACTTCAGTGGGTATTTATAGTTGTTGAATATGAACAAGTTCTTTGAATCTTCTTCTGTTTTTTCGTTATACGCCAACTGTTCTACACATGGTAAAGACAAGTAGTACGTAAGAATTTTTTATGCATGTGCACTTATCTGCTTCATGCGTGTTAGCAAATTGTCAAACAACAATTGGGCAGATTAAACCAATAATTGACAAACATAATGGGAATCTACGGATGCAACATGACTAGTGTGTAAAAAATATCATATGGGGAAGCAAATTAATGGGTTGGTGCTCATTGTATTATTATTCTTACCGCTTCAAATAATAAATAAGTCATGATTTTGTGAGCCAGAAGAAAAGTAATCTGTAGTATGCGAAATTGATTACTACGTAACTGGTGTGAAGGAAGTTGTATTTTTTTTTTGATGA